TACTGTCAGGATATAGTGAAATATGACAAAATAAATATTTTTCATAAAAATACCTACTGCAGCTTTAAACATCAAAACTGACTGTAAACTATAAAGTGACAAAAATAGTAGCTAGTAGTAGGTGCAGCTGTCTTTGACTCTTCTTTCTCTCTCAAAAGTGAAACGCACATCTGTCTGAGATCTTTACCCACTAGAGGGCGTTACTTAACCAGGACTGAGTGCTTTGGAGTACTCAAGGCAGCCAGCAGTAAGGCCTATATTAAGGATCAGTGCAGTCAACTGTACAGTCCTCAAGTACAACGTGGGATCTTAGGAGTTGAGTTATATTGATCACATTGAATAATTATACTATATAATTAATCAATAAAAAACAAGCTGTTTTTTTATTTGTAAAAACATTTGGATGTGGATGTTGAAATGGCATTACATTTAAACAACAACATATCCAGCCTTTTCCTTGTTCAAATGCAGCATATTCCCGCGCCTGGCACAGAGACCAAACAAGAAGGCACAAAAAACAACAGCATTGCTACAATTTCTACAGTCAAAATGGCAACTGATAGTAAGCACTGAGTGTACTGGATACAGTACCAGGGACACAAACTATGTGTTAATGTTGTGGTTCAAGCTCAAATATCTTAAGTACCCTGTATTCCACTTGAACGCCACTTTACATTAGAATCCAGTGAACCCACAGAAATAGGATTCTCAGTTGCTTTTGGTCTGAACTATTAGTTATTTGGAGCTTTAAAAAGCTGCACTCATTCATACTTTCACTATATCCTGGACAGTAGAACATCTGTCCCATGTTCTACTGTCAGGATAGAGTGAAAGTATCAGCAAATATGACAAAAAGCTACTACTGCAGCTTTAAGTGAACAATAAAAGTTATTACAATTAAGTTCATGACCGAAACTGTGAGGCTGGTTAAGACTGGACTTTTCTAGTGATATGACACATATCATGATACAGGAATTATAATTCAATATATTGCAATACTGTAAGCAAGGCAATGTATTGCAGTTTAAAAAAAATCTAATTTTGGTAATACTGTCATAGTGTAAAGAACACACCACTAGTGGTTTGTATTTGTGTGCCCCTATTTGTATCCTGGTGTAAAGAGTTCCAGCTGAGCACATCATTTTTTTTGGTCATTTGGGAGTAACAAAATTAACAAATCACCTCATAAAGACCCTAACAAAGGAAAAAATGTTTTCTTACTAGTTTAATTACACATTCTGCAAATTCAGAGCAACATCAGCATTTATTGGGAGTCGTGTTTCCAGCAACCTGACAACAGCTGCCTGCTGCATCTTGAAATAACCGAATGAGAGCCTGAGCCATCACAGTAGCAAGTCCAAAATAAACAGTCAAAAGATGCTAAAAAGCCACATACAGTAACAAAGAGCTGCAGATATGAGTACCAATTCTCTTTTCCACGGCACTGTATCCAAAAACAGGCTGGTAAACAACATTAGTGCTTATTGTCAAGTGGTCATTTACAGCTACACTTTGTTCTATATTTTGTGTTGACATACATCAAAAGACAGAAGGCACGCCGTGACACTGGGCTGGTTGGCCTCCTTGAACACAGCTAGGATCTCCCGGGCCTGACAAAAGTAAACAGATAATCTCCAGACTTCCAAAAGGGGTTAAGTCCACAGGTCTTAAAATGATGTGAAACTT